TCGAATTGTTCTTTAGTTAGTCAGTGATCTGCGAAGCACAATACTTAAATGTGGTTGAGTTTCTCCTAAAGTAATATTTCTATATCATCATTTTGACACCATTATCTCTGTAACCCAACGTCCAATATTTTTGTTTTAAATGAAAGATAATATTGTGTTCTTTAAAAAATGCCCTTATACATGTTTTGATACATCGTAACGTTTTTATTTTCTCGCTATCGCTTACGCACTAGAAAGTTATGAAATGTTTCGAGAAATTCCGAGCGACGAATTCCAGCAGAAAAAATCTTATTATCGGGCCCTGGTAACAAAAACGTGGGTAAATCCAGTTGCTAAATTTAGAAAAAAATCCTCTAACATGTTGAAACAAAATCCATATTTTGAGGGTCTTTGATACTGGAAAATAAATTGACATCAAACATCTGTCCTATCTGTGGGCAAGGCTAGAGCTAAACCCTTCAGCCGATTTTCTCCAAAATTGATATTTCTCAGTCGATCTGGCCGATGTCGCGACTCCTTAAATAATTTGAAACGGATATTATAAGTTTGGGGGATACTTTTCATGAAGCACCTGGGACATTTTCTAAATTTCAAAAAAAAATTGCATCAACGTTTTTTATTAAATTTAGTTGTTGGATAGTGAGAAGGACTTTTTAAAAAATGGCGCTGGTCTGAGTTTTGTTGAATCCCTTGATTTTTCAAAAATTTAAAAAATTCAAAATTTTTTCGGCGTTTTACTACAACTACAAACGTGAAGATATATATTTTTTTCTTAATGAAATGTGTTTATCAGAAATAGATATTCAAATAATGCCGTTTTGAATTTTTCGAACGTTTGAGTGTTTTTTTAATTTCGCGTCAATCATAGTCGCCCGCTTCGGATTTCCTGCGCTTCGTGAAAGTAATTTGAGAACTGCTAGGATGCATATTTCAGCTGTATTCTAATCAATCTTGTAACTTTTTTTACAACATAATGACTATTGTGGCAATTTATACATGAAGGGTAATTATACCCATGAAAAACAATAACTATCACCTTATTCAAAACAAATATGTTTATCAACACAATACAAGAGGAAAGGAAAACTATCACAGGATGTACTTTGCAAAATCCTCTTAAAGAAGAATCCTTGTTGGAATGCTGCAATACTCAACAATAAATTACCTAACCATATTAAGGAGTTAAGAAAACTAAATTCAAAAAAGCACAAGAAAATACTTAATTGAAACTTGCCCGTATAAATTAAAGAAATTACCCGTACAACAGAGGCAACTATATTTCGGTCTAAAAGGATAGCTATGTCGACTATAATCCTTTTCCGTGAGGCCTTATCAATCCATATTGTGTCACGTGTTGGGGAGATGGTTTAGAGCAAGAGAGAACCATAAGAGACTAATATTATCTCTCTGAAAAAATTCCTCGTTTGATCCTCAGTTCCTTGGTGGTATAGCTGCCTTCAGCAAATGAGATTTTTATCTTTGTACACTAAGATACCACGCAGTGTTGGATTAAGTTCACATACTGGGCATTTACTTTGTAGAAGCAAAGGACATACAAAAGCCACGAATGATGTATCGAGTCGCAGGCCTTGGTATAGTCAACCCATCCTACAGAAATGTTGCGGTGTCTTTTTTTTAACGTGATTGACTACAATACTGTCTACTATCAATTATTATTTGCAACCTTAAGTACCCTTCCTGCAACCATTTTCAGCATACTGGCTAGCACAGATGTAAAAATCTTATATATTGTGGGGAGACATGTAATAGGTCTATAGAAACTCGGATAGCTAGACTCGCTTATCATAAATGTAACTTCTTCAGTAAGAGACGCCGGAATGATCGTTGGATTGTTGAATGCAGCTTGAAACCATTCCTTATATCACAACACTTCCTTTCCACCTCTGCTAACCAGTAAGCTCCAAATATTGAGCCTTGGGGATGCTCCATATATTACTCCAATATTCTTCTATCTCGGAGCTTTTAAGAACTGTTTCAGGCAACTTTCTTTAATCGTTGAGTTGCCTGAAAAATTTCTTCTGGTCGCATGAATACAAAGCATTCTGTCATTTTCGTTTCATTGATTTATTATATCTTCTTATACGGCACCCAAGGGCTGCGACGTGCTGTTTGAGATACTCAAGTCGGTCTCGGAGCCTCTCCTCGAAATTCGTCTAGGTTCTTCGAATTCTCATCTTTCGGCCAATCGCCTTCACTTTATTGGAGACCTTTCTAGTTGCATTCTCATGAGCTTTTAAGAAGGTTGTCAGAATGCCTATGTCCCGCCGGAAGCTTTCAATTTTGCGTTCAATACGCCTCAACCATGAGGGCTTGGTGGGCTTAGCGGACTGTACTGTGTCTTTCGATGTTTCCAATTTATCCTGTACTGGTTTACCAAGACCCTGCACAACAGCAAAGGCTGCACAAGACGCCACTTCCTCAAGCGACAGCGCGAGTTTGTTGATTGTTCTTCACTCACCTTTAGCAAGTTATTGACAGCATCCATCGCTGCATTTGTACTTGGGCCATAACCCACTTATGGAATCCATGGTCTGGTGGATAGTAGGACCATGATAGTAGGTCTTCATAGTTTCATAGTGCGCAGTCCAACAGAATTGCTCAGGCATTGGGATGCAGGATTCATCAGAATTCGTCTCCGCAGATCATTCCTGATTAGCTTGTGGGTCTTCATTATTTCTTCCTTCATCAGTCTCATTCCTATTCCCAATATCAATGGATGCTCTTACGTTCTCCCTAATGGTATTTATCTCTGCAGTTGAGAGAAAGTTCCTAACATTGATGGTGCGCTGCTGGTCGCACACTCTCTGCTCGGATACTGGTATGTTCGGATGCAGATTTAACAATTCTTTGTAAAATCACGTCCTTATCCCTCCATGTCCGCTTGAAGTCTGGTAGCCAAATGCTAATGGAGATTTTTAACTCCTTAGTCCATTTCATGCGCTGGCATTTGTTCTGAGGTCGGGCGGGGTGAGCTGTTGTCTCACCTAAGCTACAACCCCCAGCATTTGTCTGTATTGTGGTTGCTGTAAGCGGTGCAGCGCCACACATTCCCGGATGGTATGTGGAGGCTCCATTGCTCTCCACTGGCACAGGTAGCACATTTCTCACTGCGAGCCCAGTGCCAGAACTCTCAGCGCCGCGCTTATTATTATTATTATTATTATTATTATTATTATTATTATTATTATTATTATTATTATTATTACTATCCCTACCCGTTTTCTTAAACCCTGAAATACCTACTTCCACTCCTTTACTAACATTAGTTGAATTATGAATAAGTGCTAGCAACAAACGTTGTTGAAAAAACTGATAAGCAGAAATGTTTGATCCCGCATAAAAGGAACTATTTTGCATTGGAAAACGAACTACAGATTTGATATTATTGTCCTGTTGTCGAAATAACCAAACCTCATCTTCTCTCACATTTAACGAAATGAGGGCTCAAGAAAACGAGCGCGGGTAAATATGTACCTGCTCATGATTACATTTTTTCTAAATTATCTCCATTTTCAAGTTATCATTAATCGACAACAGTACAGAATAATGTGAATAGAGGAGAGTGTATAAAAAATAATTGTATAAACCTTGGCTGAAAAGTAATGTTATTCGGACACCATTTTACCAGTTTGGGCTTTCTCATTGCTTCGCTTTCGAAAGTCTGCTACTTTCTAGCCTCGATTCATTAATAATTAATATCTGTATGTCCACAAAGTTGTTTTAAATGTGCGCTTTTTGTATGACAATCGATATGAAAACCGTTCACGCACATCTCGATTCTCGTAGTTAATCGACTAGTGTGGATATATCGATAGTATCATGGTGTTGGTAGTGTTGACAAAAATTAAGTGTTGGGTGGTTTGGTCTTGGACTTACTTATGGGCGTTTTGGTTTCTGTTGGTTGTTTTTGCTCTTTATTATCTTCGTGGGCCCTTGAAGATTAAAGACAATATAGAAATGGGTAATTATAATTGATCTATATTCTGCTTTCTTTTTTTTAAAGTGGTGAGCTGAATTAGTTGTAAGTGGGTTGGTGGACTCCCTGGCACTTTCGTGTATGACATGTTTTACGTGAGTGTACCATAAAACATGACAGAATTCGACATATAAGCTGTTATAACAGAAGAAAACATCGGCTCTTTTCCATTTTTAACCATGTGTTGTGATTTGTACTGCTGCAAGTTGTCGTGTGTGTTCTTGAATATGCTATCAATTGACTAAATGAAGCAGTTACATCCCTCTTGAATTCTTGTGCATTTAGTTTTTCGTTCTGCCCACATAATTGTGAATTTTATTTGGAAGCTGTTCTTAAAGTTTTTGCAATTATATTTTTCTCTTATATTTTGATAAATACCATGAAAACAAGTTGTATTAGATATTTTAACTATATCCCAGTGTCATCTAATTTTATACGGATATTGTAAAATACTAATTCTGTGTATTTGTAAAGCCCTGTAAAAATATAATTTGTTATTTTTAAATAAACAGTAATGCACCACTATTATGTATTCATTTTATATGAATAATTACACCTATTTCTTTTATTGAAATTGCACTATTAGAGTCAAGGTAGACTTCTGTTTTAGTCACAAATTTTCCTCAGTCTGTGATCCGTAGATGACAGCTCACTGTTGAACATGTTTTTGTTACACGACTTGGATGTTGTTTTTTTTTCCAAAAGGTATTCCTTTCCTTATGATTTTGTGGTGCATTGAGGAATTCCAATTTCATTTCAATTGATATTTATAATTAATTAACATACTGAGCTGTAATAAGAAAAACAACTGAAAAGGTGCTCTGTAGAATTGTGATGAGCTATCCTTTAAGCATTTATGTAATGTTGGCACAGTAATATTATGTTCTTTAATTATAAATATTTACAAATTAAAATCAACCTCTTAGAGGCATTATTTCATCATACATTGTAAAGTGGTAAAAATTGCTGTTGATGCCCTTATTGGAGTGTAATTAATAAGTTCCTGAACATTTGAGTATGTCAGAGGTCCACAGTTGTAACTCGCAATTCACGTGTGACAGGAGGAAAGAAAAACTATCTGCACTTAGTTGCTGTATTGGAGTGAAAGCAAATCTCAGATTTACCTTCAGATAGATTCCTTTCTTGTGATTATTATATCGAAATCAGTGAAATGGAGTTATGGCTCTTGACCAACAAGGTGCATATTTGTCATTTTAATAAATTCTGTAAATATGCTACACAGTCAGTTTCCTTCTGTGGATATAATTGTTTTGTGAAACCCCTTAAAATAGTTTGGTTGATAACTTTTGTGAAATACACTCTTAAAACTGGAATAATGTCTAAATTTTATCGTTCTAAATTAAGCACAACTACTGTTGTATTATTGTAGTGGTTATTTCTTTTATTTATTTGTAAAGATTTGGACATTCAGCCGTAAACAGAAATCTACAGTTGTATTAAACATTTTGTAAATCAGTTGAGGAAAAGCTGCTTTTTTAAAAACTAATTTATATTGTCAATGTTCAGTGGTATCACTAATACAAGCAAATAAAATTCCATTTCTTGACTAGAGGATGATACATCCTTAATGTATCTTGTGTACCTTGATGCAAAGATTGTGTGACATATTTTTTTATTATTAGTTAGTTACTGCCCAGTATGAATTGTTATTTTCAATCCTCCTACCCTGCATGGAACTTCTTACTCCCAGATCAATAATGGGTCAGCCATCTTGTTTGTAGGGAAACAATCCAGTGGAGGGTTGAGAACTTCAGTGGGCACCTGAGAGATAATATTTTAGAAAATGTGGGATTGTGAGTGAGATGTTACTAATACTTGTTACTTTCTAATATCAAATTATGAATAAAAATAAATAGTGGAAGTCTGTCATGTAGTGTATCAATTTGTTTTACCACTTGTGTAGTAGATTTGGTGGTTCATTTGATTTAATATTTAGTATAGTTACATGATTGGTAGTGATGTATCACAGGGCAAAACATTTGAATTTTTCTTGTTATGGTTTTTTGAAATATGTTCATATTTTTTCTTTATTATTTCCAAAGCTTTTTGTTATAAGTGATGCCTCACTATGATCTTGACATATGTCTACAAGAAATTTTATTTTCATGACATGTTTGAGAAATTAAAGAAAATAAAATTTTATTCATGCACTAAAAATTAAAATGACAAATTGAATTCCTTTTTTTTTGTTTTGTGTCTTAATTTGTAAGAAAAATGATTAACTCTGTTGCTGCATTTAACAAAGTATTAATTTTATTATGAAATGGGGAAAATCAGTAAAATTTGACCCCACTTAAGATACTGAAACTCTGTAAAGATTTCATGTGGGGGATTAAATGGTATCATAGAATCATTAATATGTTTATGTATTTTTGCAGCTACTATGTTTTTGAGCACATTGACTCCAAAATTTTATGTTGCCCTCACTGGAACATCATCATTAATATCAGGATTAATTTTGGTATGTATGTGTGAATTACTTGTTAAAATATTAGACTCAGATTTAAGTAAGGCTTAAAATTTCATGTGCTGGTATAAAACAGAACCTAAATCTTCAGACAGAATAAGCACTTTCTCTGTTGATTTTTTATATAACTCCTCTCATATTCATTTTTGCATATTATGTTGTTTCATACTTATTAGTTACAACATACTTATATATTATAATTATGTCATACGTGTATATTAATGTTTTTGTTGAATTTTACTCACACAAATCTAAGGCAATCTAAGATAATTCTTTTATAAGTCTCTCTTTCCAGACACAATTTGGTTTCACCACCTGTGTTTGTTTACTATGTTGAAAACAAAATCTTTTGAAGTAGTGATCTGAGTGCACTGTGTCAACGTTCTCTTCTTGTGAAGTTGTGCACCTAATTGTGTCTTGTAAGTGTGTTTCTTTGATTTAATGATCGTAAGAGAGATCTCTTTTTAATTTTCAGATATTTGAATGGTGGTATTTTCGTAAATATGGAACCTCATTTATTGAACAAGTATCACTGAACCACATTAGTCCGTGGATAGGTGGGGGTGATACAAATGGAGACACTAATAATATTTCAACAAATGCAAATACAACTTCAACAAATCAACAGCCTGTGCCTGGTAGGATTAAATAAGTTTTAAATTGTAGTAATTCAGTACTTCAGAATTTTTATAAATTTGTTACTTTCTTCTTAATACTTGTCACTTTGTTTTAAATATATTAATTAACAAAATTAATTTCTTTCTTTTTTTATATAAAGAATGCAAAGTCTGGAGGAACCCACTGAATTTGTTTCGTGGGGCTGAATACCAGAGATTTTATTGGGCTACTAATAAAGAACCCTTAACATATTATGACATGAACTTATCAGCCCAAGACCATCAAACCTTTTTCACTTGTGAAGGTGATTGTGGGAAGGGTGAATATGAAAGTAAGTATAAAATAATCTTTAATGATTCATTGTTTTTGCCTCAGATGGCCTTCAGCCCAATTTTTCATTTTGACTATGATTATTTGGGAAACTATGAAATAGAAAATTAACAATTTCAATAAAAAAAGTTGAGACATAATGTACATTGATTTGTGTCACAAAATATGTATTTTTGTTTTGATTGGGAGAATTTCTTCAGTATTTTATTATTGATGTAACTCACATTTGTATAAAGTTTTCTATGTAATGAAGACATTTACAAATTGTTGACTTGTGCGTTTGCATTATAGTTGGTAATTATGGCTTTAAAGAAAAAGAAAAAAGGTCCCCTCCCCAATAAACCCACATTGCCCTATGGTAACTTCTGATTTCTATTGTTTTTCTGTAATTTTCATACAATAACATGTGTCAGACAAGTCAGGTTGTTTATTGTAGTTCTTTATAACAATATTAAGAATATATTATTGTTAATAATGATAATATCTATATGGTTATATATTGCTATTACATTGCACAATATTTATATTTTTACGTATAAGTATTAATAAATTGCACATGCGTACATATATGAATAAGATGGTGTTAAAATATCAGTTTAAGGTAAATATCACATCCTTTTAAATACACTTACAATATAATTACGTTTTACATTTAACGCTTTCAAAATACATAAAACACTGCGTAAAAATACATAAACACTGAATATAACAATTTATACATCTGAATCCTATGCTAATTCTTTCAATGTGTATGGACTTTTTGCTATTAAATATGATTTTAGTAAAATTTTGAAATTTTTCTCATTGGTGGTTTTGAAATTCAATAGTTTATTGTATCATACTTAAAGGTAAAACTATATTAATGCCAATTATTACCTAATCACAAATTTCATAATGGGTGATGTCATAAGGCCTGTACTAACACTGAAGAGAAATGGAAGGAACATTTTGGACTGGGTGCTCTTCTTCTATGCCCTGCTTTGCAGGCAGAGTCCTGAGATGATATAACCTGCGATCTGATTAACATATTACTCGTTGAGGAATTTCTGTACATGAGAGAAAAGTTTGTGCAAGGGAGTGTTTGGGTTTTGAAGCTTTATAATCCTGTTATGATTCACAAATATTGCAGTATTTTGTTTGTAGGATTGTATTTGTATGCTGCTTTGATAAATTGTGAATATATTGTGCTTGTACAGGGGTAAGAGGGACATGCTTTTCTTGTGTTGTAAGAGTAGTATGAGGTAAAATTGTGAGTTGTGTAATCTTTGTTTGGTCCTGTCTAAAAATGAGATTACAACAAAAAACAAAATGATTTCGTCAATGAATATATACATGGAATTGATAGTATGTTCAATTTTTAAATAGGAATCTGCGGGAATGTGTTTATATCGATACATATGGAGTCCCTTGTTATTTAGACAATAAAGATTTGTTTAAATCAAATTATGTTATACGGTTAACCTACAAACATTTCTTAAAATTTTCACTTTAAAGTGATAAAACTGGATGAAGTGAAGAAACTGATTTTTAGATAAGTGATAGGCTAGGCTCACTTGTTTAATATTGCAGAAAGTTTTAAGAAACTGAGATTTCATCTATGAATTATTACAATATATTTGAGTTACTGCAATTGTTAACTGTTTGTTAAATATTTTTAATAATATACTACATTTTCATTTTATGATCCTATTTTCAGCTGACCAGAAGATGGGGATAAAGCTTGTTCCCTGTATTATGTAAATACAGCATACTGATGTGATGTGTTAACTAAAAACAGTTTTTATCCAATAATTTTAAAGTGCAACTTTTAAGAAGTTTTTAAACTAAACTGATTTAAATGAAACATTGGATTACGTACTTAAGTAATACAACAAGTAATAAGTAATATAACAAGGGATTACGTACATATAAGTAGTACACCAAACACATCATTCATTGGCTACACTATTTGAAAGGTGTATTGCGGTTTGTTAATGTCTGTTTTGTTTTTCCCTCTCACAGATTTGTGTTCTGTTTGTTATACGGAATTTTCTATTTTGTGTGTTTTTGTTTTATAATATTGTATGGGAAGGGAAGTGTTGAAATAGTGTTTTATTATTTTGAAGTGTGTAATAAATTAAACACTGTGTAAAGTAAAGAAAACAACCAGTCCAGTATTTTTATTTTTTGCCGTGTACTGTGCCACTTTACATGTGCCATTGCTTACAAAATGTTTGCCAACTGCATGGCTTGATAGATGCATATGCTTTACTGCAAACTTCATTTCATTTGGAAGTCACCACTTGTAGCTGCATCATGTTCTTTGCAGTTACGTAGTTCAGTTACATACTGTAATACTATATAAAATACATTTACATACTACAATATAATACAAACAATACAATTAAATACTACAATACAATAATCCTTGATAACAAAAAGTTACTTTTAATTCATTACACAGACTTTGACACACTAACTACTCTAGGAGGGCATGGGTTTTGATCACACTCCTGATACCATGTAAAGTTTGTTAGTTCATGTAACAGGTTTATTGCATCATTTCTCAGTGCCCAAGGGTTCTCTTCACAAAACCTGCATAGACAATCACAACTAAACATAAATCACAGTTATGACATTTGCTTGAAGTTTGGCTCTATCAAAGAACACCAGTGAGGCATGCTAGGTAAATTGGAGAAAGCGATGTAGTTTGCTATTGCTTCCTTCACACAACCTGAGAGTGCAGTAGCACTAACTGGCCTTGCAAGTAACACATTTCACATCCTCATTGCCATTACTCGAATCCACCTATATTCTTGGCAGCTTTTCTATTGTCCCAGCCACTTGAGTCTGCAATGTTTTGCTGAAGTCACAAATTGCTCTTGACCTTATTGAGAATCAAACCTGGGCCCTTACAAAGCAAGCAAGGTAACTACAAGTCTTCAGGAGGTTTTGGTGGGCCTTTAATGTTTACATTTACTAAATAATAGAATGGAAGAAAATACATTTTCATTCATTGAAAAAAATTTTTTTAAAGCAAAATGAGAATGACAAAATTAAATATAAAAATAAGAAACTATATCCAGTATTTTTATAATTCTGATGTTCTAACTAAATTATTTACCCCAAAACAGTATAATTCAAATAATTGCTAATAAGTGTAAAGTTGAGAAATTCACACATTTTCACTGTGGATACATTACAGTTTATGAACTATTTTATATGATGTGATTGGATTTGAATAGTGTTGTGAAATGTAAATAATTAATGTAATGGAATAACTAATGTTTAGAGTTTTTCATACAAATCTACTTTACACAATAATTAGTGATGTAATAACAATTGTGTGTCCAATTTTTAGTCATGCAGACTGCTTGGCGGGAAAGAAATCCTGTTGCTCGAATAAAAGCTGCTCATGAAGCATTGGAAAAAAATCCAGATTGTGCTCCGGCTTATATTCTGCTGGCAGAAGAAGAAGCGACCACAATTCTGGAAGCAGAAAAAATTCTAAAACAAGCACTCCGAGCAGCAGAAATGAATTATAGAAAATCTCAACAAGTTCAGCATCAAGGATCTATAATGGAGTCTTTACATAGTAAGGCATGAAACATACAAAATTATTGGACATCTCTTATTTTATTGAAGTATCAGGGGTAACTAGCCAACATACTTGATAAGTATCAAAAATGAATAATTATAGTTACCATATTGTGTGTACTTTTGGGTCTAATTTTTTTCGGGAGAGGGTTTCGGGAATTTTATTTTTTAAATTTAGTTCATATAAAATACTGTTTATCGTCATTCAAACAAACTGAAATACATTCAGTACTGCCAAGTATGTATTTGGTGCATCCAAGATTCTCCTCCCCCTTTCATTTTTAAGATTTCAAACTTCTGTAATAATTACGAGTAACATACATTTTTGTTAATATGATTATGTCTGGGCAATACAGTAACATGTAGCAAAGTTGCAAAACAAATTTGCATTTTACTATAAGATTATTTTGCCCGTGGGTTGTCTTTGTATTTGCTTGTGTGTTTGTGTTTCACTTGTAAGTACTAGTGATTTAATCTTGTGTATGTTAGTAGAATTGTTGGTAGGCAAAATGGGTATATGGAAGATTCTATAAATAAAAAAAACCAAATTGAAATATTTCACATTCTCATTTCAATTAAATCTTCAAATACATGACGTTTCGACAATTTTGATGTGTTTTCGTCTTCAGGCTATGAAACAAATTTATTATATTAATCAATTGAACAAAATTCTACATTCATTTCTTAAAATATACAAATTACTTCATACTAACCTCTTTTTTAATTCTAATATATACAAATTAAATTTTCAGACTGCTTAAATAGTTTCATTTAAAGAGCAACAACTGCAAAAACACATTCATATAAATACTCACCTCCAATTCTTAAAACGATCCACACAAAATTCATACAAAAGGACTATTGATGAACAATATTAATACTATTCTTATTTGTATTTCAATTTCTTTTAAGCACTCAATTTTATAAGCTGAACCTCACCTTCAAAATGAAATGTTTCTTTCTTATAGCAAACATTTTTGTTCCTTTCAATTGTCTCTTAATAAGTATTTTTAAATAATAAATCAAAAAATAAATCATTAGGTATAAAAAGAAGTGGAGGAAAGAGAAAGTTGATTTTAAATTTTGATGAGGAGAGGTTACAAGTTCAAAAAACATAAAAAATTATTATTAAATAAATTAAATAATTTCTTTGTTCTTAAAGATGGTACAGAAAAATTTTTAAATATGCTGCGTGATCATCTATAAAGACCCATTTCTAATTTACGCAATGAAAAGATGTAAATGTGTGTATCGAGAAATAGTGATTTGTAGCTTTCCGTGACCTTTAATTCTTTATTTATTATTCTGCAAAAATAAACATGAGTATTTGAGGTAATTTCAAAAATTTTAAGTAATTTCATTATTTTGTAGTTTGATTTATAATGGATTCATTTGACTCAACACATTAATTTTTTGTATTCATTACATAATGATGTTTCGAAATTTTTTTTTTAGTGAGATTATTTCTCATGTTGTACATTATTAAACAATATTGATAGTCAGTGAATGCACTTTTAATGAACTCCTGTAGATAATTTGTGTATCTAGAAATAAAATTAATTGTGTGTCTTGTAGGGCGAGATACAAATGTCTTGATCTACATTAAAAGAAGACTAGCAATGTGTGCTCGGAAGTTGGGAAAACTTAAAGAGGCTGTGAAGATGTTCCGTGATGTAAGTAGAAGATGAAATAAGTCAGAGAGAAAATTTCTGAATTTATAGTAATGATTCTCACAGTTAAGTATTTGCTATCATTATTCAAAATGTGTCACTTTGGGAAATTGTAATTCAATTAAAAATATGGCTTGGTATTGGGTTCTTCATTATGAGATGCATTTTTTATAAGAAATGTTGGCTGCAACATCTCTGTGTGTAATGCGCGTGTGCATGCACACTTGTGTGTATATATTTGCTCAGGTTTTGGGCACTTGAATGTTCTTGCAAAGCATAAGGTTACTGCACACAGTTGTAATACTTAATTCCTTATATAAAGCAAATTAATTAGGGTAATGATTAGTGAGGGAAATGTATATGTTAATATTGGTTTTCTGTAATTATGCTTAACATGCATTTTTCTCTTATATACAAGTATGGCTGCAAGAACTGTGGTAAACTCAAATCTTTTAGGATATTATTATAGACAACATATTTTTGATATAAGGGTAATGTTAGGAAATTGCATATATTGCACATATTGTTTAAATAGAATCAATTGTTAGTGTATCAAAGTCATGACAGCACAAGGCAAAATATGTCAATTAAATGCAAATGTATTGAATATTATTGTCTTTTATACGTGTCTTTCAGATATCTTTTTATTTCCTTTGCCACTTGTACAGCTTTCCTTTTTCAATGTTTGCTTGCATTCAAATGCTTTCTTTTTTACCTCTGTTAATATGAAAATAGAGACATGCTTACTTGGTTTTGTACCTTTGTGATGTGCGCACCTTGCTGGCATTCTTGTGCCCATCCGTCATCTCCAGTTAAATGCTAATGTTTTGTGCATGCAGGGTTCCTATCTGCACAAGGACGAGGGCAGAAGGGTGGAACCTCCACGTCTCAGGTGTGAGAACACGTCCCTGACTGCAAGGTGTGCACATCATTGCACTATTATTGCTTTATAATATCAGATAACATAATTGCAGTACTGTATATAATTATATATATTTTGAAAAATATATATTTAAATGAGCTCTGATAGCCATATTTATATTCAGTGTGTGAAGTGATTGTTTTTACATGATCAAGGTTGTTGTTGGTTTCTTCTGCAGAGATCAAAAAGTCCATGCAAAAAAAAAAAAAAAAATCATGCAAGAAATAATAATTTCACTACCGAAATATAAATAATTTTTTAAAAAACTATGTAAATTGCTTATACAATATCATTAAATATCATTAAATATTTTGAATTATTTATTTCATCGCTAGTCTTCATGGTTTCATCAAAACTAAGCACCATGAATGACGTTGCTAGCCTAATTACTTACTACACTCAGTGAAGTCACAGAAATTAAGCAGTTTGGGACATTTAGGATTCCTGGATGGGTGTGGAAATCCATAGGATCTAATGGCGCAAGGGATAAAAGACAATGACTATCTAGATTAAAGAAAAAATCTTCACTATATGTTCAATACCAGTTGGTGGCTATAAATAGAACATTACTAATTAACATAGCAGGAAAAAAGAAAATGGTTCTATGAGACAGCTCACGTATGGGCAATAAGGGTAGGCAGTGCGAAAGGGTTGTGATGTTAAGTGGTGAGGATGGACCATGAAGTCATGCGAAAATTATTTTTGCATTATAACAACAACAACAAAAAAAAAAAAAAAAGGATTTTTTGCTCTGTGATTTCATGCAGGGTGACCACTTTCTGGAACGCAGGGAATTTCGATTCCAGGAAAACACAGGGAAAAAGTTCTCATGTTCACAAAATTGATTATTGATGTAGAATTTGAGTTAACAATTATTTCGAATTGACGGAATTAATTATGATAAAATTATATATAAGAAATTTTATTAATTATGATAATCTCTTTAAATAACTATTTTAAGTTAATTACGTCATTTTAAGTCATAAACAAACAAATTACATGATACTCTATAGAACATTGTCTAATGTATTTAAAAAATCACGCTTAGTAAAACTGTAAGGCCACAAGCCCTCTAACCATGCGTGTGAGAGGAATAGACATCCAGCCAATGATTTTAAATTTGCTTAATTGTATTTGTGTAAATTTGTGTCCATGTTGTTTATTATAGGGTCTACGCATGTGCACGTGAGGTCTACAATTGGCATTCGATAATATAACCTTATATTTGGATTTTTATTCCTAGGTGGGTGAGGTCCTAGAAATGATGGAATATCTCATATAGCATTTTGCGTCTTTCTCGGTCATGCCTCCAGATGTTGGTTGATCGTGACTGTACTGTGCAGTGCTGGAGATCATGTGGCAGGAAACCCCTGATGCATTTTTTAAATTTTCAAAAAAATGGTTCCATCATTTTTATTAAATTTTGTTCTTGGATAGTGTGAAGGTCATTTAAGAGAATGGTGCTGGTCTCATTTTCGTCAAGAACCCTGATTTTTCGAAAGTTTATGGATTTTTTTGGCTTCTTACAACTAAAATATTAAAGATAGACCTTTTTACCTTAATGAAATATGTTCCTTAAAGATAGATTTTCAAATAAAGTCACGTACAATTTTGCGAAATCTTGAATATTTTTCATGTAATTTTGCGTGAAATATAGACAATTATTTACATTCTCACTAGCTAGAAAGCTATATAAAATTGGAGTAAGAAATTTCTAATTAGAGCACTCTGGCTACGGAAGAGTGGATAAATCCATATGCTAAATTTACGGGGGAAATTCTCTAACAAGTGGTGCCTGCATGTTTTGTTGGTACCTGATACCGAAAAATTGATTGACAGCAAAACGTTTGCACATTCATCTGTCTGCGAAGAATTCTTGCGGCTAAACCGTTTAGCCAATTATCTTTGCAATTTATATTCCTCAACCGATCTGGCTGATGTCGTGGCTCCTTGAATTTGAAATCGACATTTTAATTTTGGAGGGTTCTTTACAAAAAGCCTCTGGGACATTTTCAAAACTTATTAAAAAGTAACTGCTCCATCATTTTAGAGGAAATTTTGTTGTTGGATAATCTAAAGGACATTTAAGAAAATGGTGCAGGTCTCATTTTCGTTGAAAACATTGGTTTTACGAAAATTGCAAAAATCAATTCGGCGTGGTACTTACAACTACAATTATGAAGATAAACATTTTTTCTTAATGAAATGTGTTCATGAAAAACAGATCTAAAAATATTGTCATGTTCAATGTTTTGTAAACAGCATTTTGGGCTAAATTTTGTGTCAAACATAGCCAATTTTAATTTTCTTTAAACCATTTTTGCTTAAAAACAGCACTAAGTTTTTTCCCTAAATTTGGACTTTAGATAGCATAAAGGATGCTTAGGAGAATGGTGTAGGATTCACGTTTGTTAAAATGACTAATTTTTCAATAATTTAAAAAATAAACAATTTTCGGCATTCCCTACAACTCCCACAATTGTGAAGATACATTTTTTTTATAATGAAATGTGTTCATCAAAATCAGATCTTCAAATAAGATCATGTTGAATTTTTCAAAATTTGAGAATTTTATGAGTAATTTGGCGTGCAACCTAGTCACATGCTTGGATGTGCTTTGTGAAAGAAAATTTAATGGTGATTCTATTCTTTGTACAAGTAAGTTAGAATTTGTATATTATTTCATATTTCTTTGTTTGTTTCTTACATTGGAGCTTTTGTTATTCATGTTCAAATTAATATTTTAGAAATTATTTAATTCCTATTTGAAATAAAAATTACTAGCCTTCAGGGACTACCAGATTGGAATGCAACAATTATTCGGGAGCTAACTTCTGTGCATTACGTCTTGTTGTTGGGTCATGATTTACCTGTATGAAATGCAGTTGGAATTGTCAAATTTGTGTTGATATTTGCTTGAAAATATTTAGCTTTTGCACCAAATGTTGTATGATTTGTTATGAGTTTTACACAAAATCGTGATTGAGACGTGATAATTTGGAGAGAAATTGTAGTATAAATAGTATTATATAACTATTACTAAAAGCAAGAGTATCTGCTGTTTTATCACCACTAGTTTCTAAATTTATCCACTTTTTTTTTTATCAGGGCCCGGCAATAAGAGTTTCTGCTGATCATTCGCATATGATCAAAGGATATTGCAATTTATTTTGTTAATGAAAGATTGCACAATATATATTATATACATATATGCATAAAATATGAAATACAATGAGAAATCTATATTTATATGAAATTACAATTATATTAAAATAGTGTCATTATATAAGTAATGTAATGGTGCATGTAACACAAGAAAACATGATAATAACTTAGGGAAAAGGCAGGGAAAATAAATTTGTATTACCAGTGGTCACCCTGTGATGTTTTTGAGATTCCTTAGTAAAAGACTCATGCATGTATGCTTAGCAAAATATGGAGTCTGTCATTTTTATATGATCTTATAAAAAATAATTTTGGCATATATTTTACGTTTGGTTTATTTTGGATGAGAGTCATTTGTGAATCACACCTGTATGAATAAAACTTTGTTTAAGTTTCTGACGTAGCCTTTTTGAACTGCTTGTTTTGTTATATCTGTTGAAATTTCATTTATTATTTGATGAAAAATCTCTGATATGTTCTAGGTGTATCAATATGTTTCTAACATCTCTATTACTTGGTTTTTATGATAATAATTTGAACTTCAAATAATCATTGTAGTTCCATTATAGAACATGTTTATTGTTAAAATAATCTGTGTTTATTAGTGAATAGTGTGCTGAATTAATTATATTTTACTGATCTTTCAAAAAGAAATTCCCCTTGCCAAACATGTAGTTGTAGTTAATTGAGTTGCCCTTAAAAATTAGAGTTGTGCAGGTCTGGTATAAATTCTTTATGTCAGTGTCAATAGGCTTTTAGAATTGTATTGACGTTTACTTACTGGGAAGGAGTGCACTTTTTGTCCATTCCATCATGGTACCAGCCTAATGGACTGTAAAAGTAAAGTGTGGGCTGATTTGGCCACATAACAACTAATGCATTTTTAATACTGAATTGGAGTTTTCTGATGGAATTGTAGACAATCAGCTTTATAATACCCTAGTGTAGAGATATTTTATTCATTCACAACATTCCTAGTGTGTTTTTGAAAGCACTTACAACTTGTGGAATGGAGTCAGAGGGTATAGCGGAATAAGATAGGTGAAAGTGGACCATGACCAAAGTCGAAGAGGATGATACTCTACTTCAAAAATAACCTAAAATAAACAAATTTTTATAATTGTTTATGTTACCATAGTGGCGTAATATAAAAAAATGTTTTTCTAGTAAAAAATATTCCATTTAATAAATTAACATAAAATAATTTAGATGCTTTTCCAGAATTGCTCAAAAAATAACTTAAATCCCTTTTTTCTGGATTGTATCAGTCTTGTCAAGCTGTGTCATATTTGGGTGAGATGATTAACAATGAAAATGAAATTAATTCGGAATATGTCAAAACACAACAAAATAGAATAATTAAAGTGTGCATAAGATCCCGATATATTAAGAGCAAAACTTACGAGTGCTATATAGACTACAAGCCATTTACTAATGGATGTGCTGGGATTCAATGTTACACTTCTGAATGTCCTAACGGATTAAGAACAGTTGGATGCTGTTCGCATGCTGTAGCTATTTTCTATTATCTATCGAATACAAGATATCAAAGCAAAATTCTTAGGCCTGCTGTAAAGCTTTTTGAACTCTTCAATCATGAAGAGATCTACCCATGTATTGACCAATTGATGAGTGGCAATGAAGTTGAAATCTAAGAAGGAATAGTGAAAATCAAAAGAAAATAAACAAATTAATTATTAAAACAATAATAAAAACTGCACAAAAAATTGAATTTAGTTGAATGAGCTGTATATTTGTTATTTTCATAAATTTTGTATTGTTTGAGTATAGATTTCATCATTTGAGAAAACCATTTTCTATTACTTTTTTAGAAATTTAAAATATTAAAAAAGAAAAAAATTATTCTACTGAATTGTGTCTCGTGTATTAATTACCCATTTTTCTCTTATTCAAAAATGAAAATATATTACAATTACGCATATTGTACGAAATATAAGTTGGTAGTTTAAACAGATTGAAGGAAACATAATTTTCCTATCAATTCAGGGAGGAAAAAATCATTCGTTTAAATCACAGAATCTTATAATATGACAGTTTATTGAGCACAAAAAATTTAAATTGTGAAATCGATATGTAAATTCCGTCAACATACAGCATCTAAATTAAGTAAAGGGCAAAAAAAAAAAAAAGTTTGATATTACGTCACAATGGTAACAAACAATTGTAACATTTTGTTTTTCTTGGTTATTTTGGGAGTAGAATAAGATTATATCATCCTCTTCTACTTTGGTTGTGGGCCAATTTCACCTCTTTTATTGTGTTGTACCCTTTATAACCTCAAACTTGTGAGACACTGATGGTTTGCTATATGAGGCTCCAGCATTTGGCCTACACGATTAACCTAAATCTTCACCTCGCATTTTATTCCAATGTACTGTTTTTCCCAAACACTTCAATGTAACACCTGATGCTTTGCTATGCATGTCAAAGTTCGTAATGAGGCTGCGGCTTTGTCCTGCACAAATTAATATGAACATCCTTGCGCCTGCACAGTGCATAGTTGATGTTATACTTTCTTAAGCACAAGTCTTTGTTTACAACACCACTGGGAACATCCCTGAGCATTTCCCACATAATTCACTAAGCTTGGCCAGTTCATTGCCATTATATGCTAATTTGTGCACCTTGGTTGCACGTTTTGTTGACAAAACAACTTATCAATGCGTACACTTGTTAGGTTGGCCACAGATTTCTTCAAACGAAGTACGAATGTTGCATAAATTCCCTGTAAGTAAACTTCAGCATGTAATATTTTTTTGTAAGTTCTGTGAAGGAATTGAACTTCACATAATCTGATGGAAGGTGAGTTTCAAGGATATGAATTGCTTATAAATATCACAATGTCATAGGGATGGGGAAAGTTGCCAAATTTTTATAGCTAAAATCTTAGTAAGCTTTGTATTTTTATGATTGCTTCTCTTGTTTTGTGTGTTTCATTATTGCTCTGTTTGTTTTAATAAATGTTAGTATAGGTATGCGTGTGTGCTATCCATGAACAAAAATTCTTGTTTTCTTCACATATCACCCCTTCCTTAATTTTTTTTATAGTTAGGTAAGGAAATCAATGAAAAATAACCTTGTTTTGAGTTTAGTTACTATTGTTTCAGTTGACAAAAGAGGTTCCTCCTATCATGAATGTTTTAAATATTCATGAAAATCTGATAGAAACACTTTTAGAAATGCAAGCATACGCAGATGTTCAAGCAGTTCTAGCAAAATATGATGATATAAGCTTGCCCAAGTCTGCAACGATATGTTACACTGCAGCATTGCTTAAGGCTCGAGTTGTTGCTGACAAGTTCGTAATTTTTCCGATTTGTATTTTGTCAGATACATTTGCCTTCATTTCAGAGGTATAAATGATATATTCTTTGCAGGTTTTCACCTGATATTGCTAGTAAAAGAGGCTTGACTACAGCTGAAATGACAGCAGTGGAGGCCATTCACAGAGCAGTAGAATTTAATCCACATGTTCCCAAGGTGAGGTTTAATGTGTGTAATTCATCATTCACATTGAGAAACATGTAGTAATTGAATGTATTCTTTTTTAGTATCTCCTGGAAATGAAACCATTAATTCTTCCTCCTGAACATGTTCTCAAAAGAGGAGATTCTGAAGCAATAGCATATGCATTCTTTCATCTACCTCATTGGAAACAGGTGGAAGGTGCTCTAAATTTATTACATTGTACATGGGAAGGAACATTTCGTATGCTTCCATATCCTCTGGAACGAGGACACTTGTTTTATCCCTACCCTACATGTACTGAATGTGCCGATCGTGAACTGTTGCCTGGTGAGCAAGCCTACATATTTTGAAATGTTAATAGGATTAAATTGTGATTATCAAAAACATTAGTTATTTAATTATTAATTAGTACATTAATTGTAAATTAGGCTTGTGTCCTGAATATGTTAGTGGTAGTGCCCTAGTTTAGGATAAAGCTAGTACTGCCTATGTAAACCTGACTTTATTTAAGTGCTGAAAAACGCTGTGTTGTATTATTGTTACACGAAGTGAAAAGTGCTCAAACATCTTCAGAAACTAGAGAGGACTGTTGCCATCTAAAACATTTCAAGGGTTCATAACATTAGAAGTGGAGAAATTGATTGTTCCTCTCACCACAAGTGTGTCAAATATAAGATACTACATGACAAATGAAGAAATGTTAGACCAATTAAATGACACTTATTGGAAATGGGAATGTTGACAAACAAAATGTTGTTTGAACTGTTTAAAATGTTCAATAATGTAACTCGTGATGCTATCAAACACTTTCTTGAGATAAAATTTACCCTTCCTGAAACAATTCAAGTGAATTGAGAAAGGAATAGTTGTGAAACCCATTAATTTCAATGAGAACAGCTGTGGAGTGGTGGATGTAATTGACTCATTCAGAGTATGTGCAGTGACCCATTCAGAGTTTATTGTGATCTACCAGGACTGGTGTACAAAATTTGTTCAGTTAGATCCGTTGTAGTCATGCATGATCAACTAAGTTTATTACATTTAACCTTCGAGCACTCGCACCTTTTTTTGAGACATAATGACTCGCACGTTGTATGATTTACAACTCCAGAATTTATGGCATTTCAATTTTTAATAATATTTTTTTTATTCTAATAACATTTATTTGAGTGTTTTACATAACTATGAATAACAATTACGGAACTTAAACAATGAAAATATTTCCTTATTTCAAAATCTATCTTTAAGGTACAGATTTCATTAAGGGAAAAAATCTCTATTTTCGTATTTATTGTAGTGGTAGGAGGATGCTGAAAAAACTTACAATGTTTGCAATTTTTGAAAAATCAATGTTTTCAACGAAAATGAAACCTGCAACATTTGCTTAAACGTTCTTCTCAATATCCAATAAAAAAATTTATTAAAAAAATATGGAGCTATTTTTAGAAAATTTTGAAAATGTCCCAGGGGCTTCATGTAAAGTACCCCCAAAATTAAAATATTAGTTTCAAATTCAAGAGGCCACGGTATCATTCAGATCAATTGGGATGTATCAATTTTGGAGAAAATCAGCTGAGCGGTTTAACCGCTAACGTTGTTCACAGACAGAAGGACATTTTGCCAACGTTTAATTTTTTGGTATTAAGGACCCACACAACATGGATTCTGGCTACATCACATGTTAGAGGATATTTTGTTTTAATTTAGCAACTGTATATTTCCACTTTTTTGTTACTTTTTCATACTTGAAGGACCTGTTAGAAAAATTAAAACTGGAACTCGCACGTAAAATGTACAACAGACACACCTTTAATCTCACGTTTCTCTCTCAGAACTCTACAATCGGTTAAGGTAATCTCTGTTTCTGCTATAACATTGAAGAAGTATCAGTAAAGAATACTAGAAGGAATTCACTACTGAAGAGCAATATTTCATGTAACTATGACAAATGTTCCATTGATGTACTTTTTACTACAGCACGAATGCTCGTAGGTTAATGCAGAATGGCCTCAACAATATACTTGGCAAACCTCGCTGTAGCCAGTTGCAGATTAGTATCAGGAGGGCAAATAAGGATATTGAGGATATGCTGTAGGTGATTGATACAAAGTACAGTAAGTGGTCTGGAAGCTTAAAATTTGTGCATCTAATGAGAAGCAGGGTAATCTCCATACCAAGGAATGATTGATGTGATGTGAAAGATATTTAACCTTATTAAATTTTGGGTTAATCTCTTTGTTTTTACAATAGGATGTATTAAGTGATCTCTGAACAGAAGAAAAATTAGAGAAAGCATTACAGAAATAAAGCAAGAGACCTTGGGCTTGATTTAGAAGCAACTGATCAAAACTTTGACATTATTTAGAAAAAGAGAGACAGGACAAGGAACTTCGAATTAGTTTGTAGAATATGTAGTGAAAGCTATGAAGAATCAATATGTGTTAACTTTGTGAAAAAGTAGTAAAAAAATTATTCTCAACTGACAACAAAAGTAATATTGAAAAAAGTTAAAGAAATAAAAGCATCCCTTCCTCCTCCTCCTCCTC